GATAGATAGATAGATAGATAGATAGATAGATAGATAGATAGATAGATGAGACATAGACAGATGAGAGAGGATAGATAGATTATAGAGATAGGAGTGATAGGGAGATGAGAGATAGATAGATAAATGAGAGAGATAGGCAGGAGAGAGAGAGAGAGAGAGAGAGAGAGAGAAATAGCTATAGTACTTAGACTTAGTGCTTTACAGCCCTCTCTAAGTGGTTTACAGAGTCAGCATATTGCCACCAACAATTTTGGGTCCTCATTTTACCCACCTCAGAAGGATAGAAGGCTGAGTCAACCTTGAGCCTGCTGGGATTTGAACTGCCAAATTGCAGGCAGCCAACAGTCAGCAGAAGTAGCCTGCAGTGCTACATTCTAACCGCTACACCACTGAGCCCCAGTGATAGAACAAAATGGCAAAACAACTAATAAAAACAACTAATGAAAATTAAATCATACTCAGTTGCCCTGAGTATACACAGTACAAGTACACACATAGGAGTCCTCCCTTATTTGTCTTTTTTCTAAACTAAACCAAATACATTTTATGCTATGTAGGTTTCAACCTTGATTAAGTGATTGAACATGGCAGCCAGTGAATCTAATGTATTTGGCTACAGCCATTTAAGAAAACCAGTCTTCTCTGTTGTACACTGCATGGGATAGCTTACATTTATCAGCTATACATGAACAGAGTTTGATTTTTTTAAAAACCCTCTCTCTCCAACTCTCTCCCACTCTCTCCCCCTCCCTTTTTCTCTCCCTCTCCCTCTCTCTCTCCCTCTCTTTCCTTCGCCCCCCCTCTCTCATTTGTGTATTCCAACTCATGGTTTTCAGGAATGCTACATGCCTTCTGTTTTTTCACAGTTTGCTTTGTTTGAATAGATAGATGAAACATTACTTATACAATTTCAGATTGAAACTAGCTTGAATTTGTATAGTCTCAAAAGACCCTCTTAAAGTATCCTACAGAATGGGCAAATGTTAGCCCTTTGGGACAGCAGCACTGATAGACATTATATCATTAATAACAGACTTCAGACTAATGCAATAACCTGCTTGGTAGTTACAATTGTTGCAGCTTCACAGATGTAGCATATATAGCAAAAATAAATTCTAATTCAAGGATTACCAAAAGATAAGCAAGTATTAATTTGTACATCCAAAAAACAAGAATTTAGATGCTGTAGAATGAATTAAGATGAAAACACAAAAGAAAAAGTCTTGACCTAAGATTAAGAATGTTGTAACTCAAAGTGTTGGCTTTGTTTATATATATTTTTTCATTAGTGTCATTTTTCAGTGTTTTAGAAATTAAGCTCTCATATTGTTGCTATCACTTATTATCAGCTATAAAAGAAGTCCGTGTAAAAATGCTTCCATTGAGATATTATTAAAGAAGCAAGAACAATTATAACCTAATAAAAGATAAAAAGCTTTCTATGTTTCCAGAAAGCACTTAGGAATCAAAGAACCTTGAGCAAGACATGACTTCTTTTCATGCAATTTCAATAAGGGCTTTTTACATTATGTACATTAGAGTACATCTCCTTTAGGAAATCATGCATTTTCCCATAGAGAAAATATGTAAGTACAATTTTGGATGGAAGACAAGGCACTATGAATTGTTGCTGTTGATTCTTTCCTTTTTTGACGATGGAAATCATCACAGCTAAAGTAATCCTATGATAAATTTTTACCATTAAAAACAGTCTGTTTTGAACAGTAAAAGAAATGGCCAGAGCAAGAATCACAAAATATTTCAGCACTCTGAAAAACATTTATTTTATATAATTAACTGCAGATCAGGGTAACCCTTACATCTCATTGCCATTTTCTTGTTATTTGCTTGTGAAGAGTTTGTATAAATTTATCTGAAGCATGCCAAATTTCCATATACCTAGGTTTATATTATACATACATCTTTATAAAAGAAAAAGTTACATATAAAAAGAGAATTTACCCAGAATACATGTTTGCCTGTCACTCTTGCTTGAAGGTAGTACAGATCACTCTGATAAAATGCCTCATTGATCATTATATTACAGATACAGAGGCTTTTAAGAATATTAACTACAATCAGATGGGGATTTAATGGTGACTGGACAGCCCATGACCCATTGAGTCAGGGTTTCAGAAATTTTTTTACTTACCCAAACAGAGAAACAGAATGACAATGGATGGGCAAAAATTCAGTGGGAGAGGCAGCAATTTCAGATATCCTGAGTTTCCTCAGTGGGAAGTTGGCAGTGATAATTGGAAACCAGCCATCCATCCTTCCTTCCTTCCTTCCTTCCTTCCTTCCTTCCTTCCTTCCTTCCTTCCTTCCTTCCTTCCTTCCTTCCTTCCTTCCTTCCTTCCCTACCTCTCTCTATCCCTTTGCAGTACAAGTTCCTCAAATTTCATTCCTTCAGAAGTAGTGGGTTCTGGCATTCTGTAAGTTAGCCAATGTGTGATATTTTCATTAACAATTACAAAGTATCAGACAAACACAAGAATTTTAGTAGTATATAGATAAATGTGTACCTAAAAGACAGTTAACAAAAATAAATAAATAAATCACAGAAATAACTTTTCTCAAATTTGGGGGGCATTTGGTCTACGTCTGAACTCAGAAAGTGAAAGGTAACTTATTTGATTCAATAATGTGAAAGCAATAGTCAATTAGGATTGTCAAAAGTGAATTGGGATACATGTTGTTCTTCACAGAAAACTTAGGTGGTAAATGCATCAGCAGTCAAATATACAAAATAAGAATTTACCAGAAGGTCTTCTACCAGAAGGAAGAATTTGGAAGATTACAAGAAACTAACAATAAAAAAGTAGCAATAGCAATAGAACTTTGACTTATATACCCATTCACAGTGCTTTTACAGCCCTCTCTAAGCAGTTTACTGAGTCAGCATCTTGCCTTCAACAATCTGTGTACTTATTCTTTATGTAAGTATCTTTACAAATGTACCTTTTCTTTATGTATACTGAGAGTATTTACACCAAGACAAATTCCTTGTGTGTCCAATCACACTTGGCCAATAAAGTATTCTATTCTATTTTACTGACCTCAGAAGGATGAAAGACTGAGTCAATCTCGAGGCAGTGAGACTTGAACTGCTGAACCGCTGGCAGTTGAATTAACTTGCAATACTGCATTATAGCCACTTTGCCACCATGGCAAGCATAAATGTATTATTCTTTTTCTATCAAACTGTTTCGGTTTCTCTGGAAAGAGAAATATTGAATGCTTAGAGCTTTTGTGTGTGTGTGTCTGAAACAAAAACATAAATAAAAGAATACAAATAAATAAACAAAACAAAATGTGCTAAGTGTGACAACAAATTTGATAAAGCGTCCTGGCAACATAAAACAGGCAAATACATTCAGGATATTTCTGTTTTATCTACCTCTACCTTTTACATTATCTTTTGTTTTAATTACTAAAATTGTATTCAAGGTAAAAAGTAAAAAATACACATTGTAAAAAATACCTGCCATTAAAAGTAAAAGTACCTGCCATTCATTTCAAATTTCCTTAGTATGTCAACTCAAATGGAAAAGTCTGATCATGGTGAGGTTGGTATCAAGGTCTCTAGGTGATCACAATTCTAACTTCTGCTTCTTTTTTACAAGTTGCATTGCCACAAAACACAAGATAAGCAAGAAACAGGCATGCCAGCTCAACAATACCTGCCAGCTCATTTATTTCAATTCAGTTCAGTAATCATATTAGCCCTGAAAAGGAGTAATAGTGACAGAGTGGATACATTGAAGTAAAAGTCAACATTTTTCCTGGCTATGTTTAATATGCAAGTTCAGAATGTATGGCAGACAGCTCAAAGGTGGAAGATGTCTTTGATTGTGCAATAGACACTGACAAAATCTACTGTAGATGGCCTGCTAACAGTCATGCAATCCAGAAATACTGCAATTATTGTAAATATTGCTTCTGATTCAAACTGTATAAGACAGCAGTCTCCAACTGGTGGGCTATGAGAAAATTTTGGTGGGCCACAGAGAAATCTCACCCCGAGAGCATCCCCCGCAAAGCAATTAATTCAGGCTGCGCAGAAACACAAGGCTGTGCTGTCCACATGGCTTGCGGGAACCCTCCCCACCCACTCCTTACCCAGCAAACTTGCCTGCTAAAATTGCTATTTTTCCTTTTTCTGACCATCATCTGTTCTGCTGTGCTGGGAGATTTAGATTAGCTAGGAAGCAGGAAATGATTGGATTTCTTGCTTTCTAGCTAGTCTTTAGATCTTTGGCTCTGCTTTTAAGCATGGCTGAACCTCCCTTAGGACTGAAGGTTCTATTATTCAGTGCAGACTCAAGGCAAGCAAATTTGAGAGACTGAGCTAGTCGATGGCAGGTAGATAGATCACCGAATGATTCTGTGAGCAACTCAATCTACCTGCCTGCTTTGCCTGATTTTGAGTAAAGTTGCTCTTTTTAAATAAAAAATTCAATATTTATATAAATATTTATAGTATTTACATATAAGCCATGCCCAGCCAGTCACATGACCACCAAGCCACACCCACAAATTAGGCCATGCGCACAGAATCGGTTAGTGGTTCCTGGGATTTAAAATTATGAGTTTGGTGGTCCCTGAGGTCCAAAAGGTTGGTGACCTCTAGTATAAGACGTTTTTCATAGGAATGTAGCAAGATTATACCAAGGTGAGATTCAAAGGAAATATTAAAAGACATTGAACATTCTTCACAAGTCATCAATTTTGTGGAGCTAACTGAAAATGTCTCTAAGCTGGCTCTAAAATAGAGATGTTTAATACTAAACTAAATTATTTGTCTGTATCCTGAATAGAAGTCAAATTTAGATACAAGCCACTGCTGTTTACTGAAACATTTGAAGTTGGTGCTGGTGTGAGAATGAATTATTTTTTCCCTGTTGTTTATATTATGCTGATGTTTTCTTTGATTAACAAAGAGATGTTTTGGTTTTATTCAAATTTATGATTGACTGTATAGCCATTAGTAAAAGACATATCCAGAGATCCACTCTCACTCACACATGGAGTAAAAAAAAAAGTGGTGTTCATTGTTTATGGGTGTTGGATATAATTATGCCATCTATAAAAATAGACCAAACAATTTTGCTTGTTGCCAGAAATCAATTCTTCATCACTGAATTCCAGTCTTCATTTTCTTTTCATTTAAAAGTAATAAAAGATGTTTATTGATCATTATAAAATTAGCCCGTACAGCTCTTCACAGTTGTTAAATCTCAAAGGGCTGTACATATAAAAAAAGAAGAAATCACTTTTATTGCTGAGATACGTACTCTTACCAACTTGGATATATTTAACAATCACTTTATTAATGATCAATAGACCTTCAGCAAACTATAATGCTGAGGCAGAAATCCTTAAACTAAAACAATTACAGATGCCAAAGATGAAAAGCTCAGATTGGTTCTCTGTTGATAATGTAGCCTATCTTGCAATATCCATGGAAAATGCATTTGATAAGCCCAGCCTTCTGGTGCATCTTGGGCCTCTGAATCTTAGTGATGATTAGGTTGACATGGCCTTTTAGACTCTTCGGCTATGACTTTTGTGCCTTACTCATGAAGGTACTGGTATCAAGAGTAGATTCCACCACCACTTGCTGTTTGCTTTTACTGAAATTCAGAGAAGAATAAAATTCCAGGGAGCCTGATAGTTCAAACATACACAAGCAGTTGAAAGCAATGGATAATCCAAGGTCTCAGGCAAACCTGATCTATCAAGAGCAACCGCAACCACAATTTCTATAGTCCATTCTGCTGACATACAAACCCCTGTTTTCAGGGGTGGGATTCTACCAGTTCGTACCTATTCGCTAGAACCGGTTGTTAACATTCTAAGCAGTTTGGAGAACCAGTTGTTGGAAGAAATTACTGGCCTAATCCTGTAAGGAAGGCAGGAAGGAAACAGTCTGGTGTTGCTTACAGAAACCGCCTCTCCGTTAACCCTTATTACATTCTTGGCAGGACTAGAATTCCTGTCTCTGGAACTTCTCTGGAGTTTTTTTTCCCCTCCTTTGCTGGTACTTTGCTTGTGTGGAGTGACCATTCAAAGTTACAGTGGCACTGAAAAAAGTGACTTATGACCATTTTTCACACTTACGACTGTTGCAGCATCCCCACAGTCATGAGAGGCCAGGCGAGGAGATGCATGCCTCGATGTGAGTGATATTGAGTTGGCCACACCCAGCCAATAACATGACCACCAAGGCATGTCCACCCAGTCACATGACCACCAAGCCATGCCCACCACCTAACCTATACCCACAGAACTGGTTGTTAAAAAATTTGAATCCCACCCCTGCCTGTTTTATTTACAAATTTTGGTGCTGTGGTAACTCTCTTATGTGTAAGGGGGAATGGTATAAGTTCATCATAGTGCTGATAAAAGTCCATGAAATCAGATTTTTGCTATGTATTTCATTTATTTGATAATGACATATATGTTTACTATGGTGTGGATATACTAAGAGCTGTCATTATGAATCTGTGGCTCAGATCTAAGGGTTTTATTTTTCATTGACTAGAGCAGTGATGCCTAACTTTTCCATTGTTGTGTGCCAAAAGTGCGTGCATGCATGTGCACACGCATGCCTGCACCCATAATGCAACACATGCATGACCCTGTGCACTCCATGTGCCTCTGTGCATGCATGCATGGCCTCCCTGTGTACTGTGTGGCTCTGCACATGCACACGTGCCTCGCACGTGTACCCCATCCCCTGCACATGCGCAGCAGATACCCGACAATCAGCTAGCTGTCAGAAGTGCACACGTATGTGCAGTGCATCTATTCCAGGCAACGGCTCACATGCCGGCAGAAATGGCTCTGCGTGCCACTTCTGGGACATGTGCCATAGGTTTGCCATCACAGGACTAGAGTAGCAGTGAAACCCAATATTTACAGTATGTGGGTGACTGAACAGCCCACTGTAGGAATCCTTTACCTCTGAAGCATGAAGAAGGAGCTAGAAAAGGTACTCTAAGCATTGCCTGCTTTATTATAGCCTGGCCAGTTTATCCAAAGGTCTTTTTCAAAAGGTAACTGGGCAAGGAAAAAACAAAGAATAAGATCCCTCTTTTTTTCTCTGGAGTAGTCACAGCAGCAATGTGTGTCATAATGCTAGAATTGAATTTGTCACCAGGAATCACCTTGTTCACAAACTTGCTAATCTTTCCAATGGTTCAAATGACCAGCGCATGACACTACAGTTTCCTCTACAGAGTAGAAGTCATGCTACCTTTGTCAAATAGTGCTGGTGTCCCTTCATCTTTTATGATACAGATTTCCCAGATTAGTTATACCTGTTTCATTTTCACTATCACATTTTTCTTCTGTGGCACGCACCTTGCATTCCTTCTTGCTTTCTTGCTTACCTTTAGTAAACTATGCTTTTCCCGGACATAGTTCTCTGAATATTTTCCATTTTACTCCATTTTTGTAGGGTTCTCTTTTAATATGCATTAAACTGATAGGTATGAATCTGTGCCACAACAATAGTACAGTTCATTTTTTACCTATTAGTCTTTGTTTGCATGGTATTGGAAGCTTATTCACATTTACTTTAAACTCCTAACTAGCTCTATTGTATCTTTAACAGCAGTTTCCATGGAGACAGTGATTTCACCTTTTTCTTAAATGTTACATTTGTCTTGATTAAGAATCTCATTTCAATCCTTTCTTTCAGAACTCCATAGACTAGCTGATCACTTGATGAATTGCTTAGCTCTCTACCAAACTTGCAATGTTCAGAGGACTTTTTAAGCTCAACTCATACATCACAATGGACTGTCCATCTTGTTTATATGAAATCTGACATGTTCTACAGTCAATAATTATTTGAGTGTCAAATCTTCCAGCACTATTTTAACTGCTTCTGCAAACCCAAATTGTGAGGATTTTGCAGAGCAAAAGCTTTTCCATGAACTGCACATTTGCTCCCTGTAACATTTAGCAAAATGGACCTATTTTGGGCAGCTATATCATTTGCCTCTAAAAATTGTTTAAGTGTCTCAATATCCAGTCATTTGTAGCACAATTAACACTCTTCTTCCCATAATGCTAGTCATACTGCTATGTCCCCTGTCAGCCTTGGAAGCCATATTTTACTTTGAAGCTTTGAGGCTGCCACATTTACTGCTTGGGAATTTAGAAGGGGGAATTTCATAGAGAGGTAAAAGATTAGACTCAACAACATTCTTTCTCAAAAAGTCAAGGACATGTTACCCTGGACCTGGAGAGGAGTGCCTGGAGGAATGTCTCCAGTTGGGACAATATTTTGATTGGGCCATGTGATGGACTGATGGCTGCAGGGTGGTGAATCTTTGATTTTCTGTTGGGAAGGAAAAACCCAGAACTCTCAAATTCGGGTTTTCCCAGATGTGCCAATATGACAACTCTAATAAAAATGAACTTTGAGGAAATGCTTGTCTTGGAGTTTGTTGGTTTGGAGTTTGTTAGTTGGAACACTGACACCCCCCTTTTCAATTTGTCATTACTCACTGCAACAACTTCAGCTGCTTTCTTTTCCTTCCTTTCCTTCTCCCAAATGATTTTAGTTAAGACTTGAGAGGCTTTTGCACAGTATCATCATCATCATCATCATCATCATCCCCATCCTCATCCTCATGCCACCCACCCCCACTACTACTGTAATGTTATTTTGGAGAAGGAAGTTTTACATGTTAGACTCAATAAGCCAAGACAATAAATGCGGGTATGTTTTTTAACATTAAATCAGATATCAGTGGACAATGGAGATCAGAATGAAATCTGAATTAGTTATTTATATATTTTTTTAAAATAACAACAAATCCTTTGGCTTTCATACATTAACCATTACATTTATTAAGGCTCTAGAATTCATTTCTATAAATCTGATGGCCTTAATTCTAGAATTCATATAGTGTTCTTTATATTTATCTTTTAAATACTTCATCCAGTTTGGTCACAACACTATAAAAAAGATGTCTAGAAATAGTGCAGAGAAGAGCAACAAA